GCAACGTGTACAAGGCTTGGTCGACCAGTTCCTCGGGGGTGTACTCGTGAGCAGCTTGCGTAGACTTCAAATTTGCCGCTCTGGTGGTAAAACCCCAGACATCTTGTTGCTTTGCGGCATGGAGGAACAGACGGGAAGGGGGCGATGCGCTCAGTATTTGGGTGGCCGACATGGTAGTTGGGGCTTTGGAAGAAAGCGATGCGCAGTGGCCGGAGCTCGTTGTCTTGTGCCACAGGATCTACTTCCCATCGCGGCGAACAGGGGCGAACGGCTGCAAACGGGCAAATGCTGACTAAGCAGACCTCGTCAGTAGGTCAGTTAGTGGCGTGGGACCAAATTGCCATACCGAGCGGAGCCTGAATCGCTGCCTCGCCACAGCCGCAGCACAGCGCAGCACGCATCTCAACATCCACCTACCACACTCCGATTTACTTATTCTCGTCTCAACAAGTTACCTCTACTCTACACAATGTGCCAGACTTATGATTGCCAGAAGGATTTCCTACAGGCAGCCAAGGCACTATCTTGCAAATTGGACGATCTTGGTCTCCGGCATGCGTTTATCGGCGGGTTCGCGTGCTCCCTCCTTGGGAGCCCTCGGCTGACAAAGGTGCTTCACAACTCTATCGCATGCATGTGCTGCTCTTATGAGTGTCGCGTATATTTAGGATATCGATGTCATCATCGAGACGCAGCGCATCGACCTAGTCGCGTTATGCGAAAGTTTGGCGGAGGTCACCAGTCGCTTCGCAACATTGAACTTTCAACTATACTATATACAGGTTCGTACGATTCTTAGGCGGTATCCAGCACAACCAGAGTATACGGCACGAGACTGAGCATTGCACGTAGAACGTATCCGAAGGAATCGGCCGGGAAGAGCTCGTGCTCCGAAGCTCTGAGAATGTTCTCGTGAAGGCGTTCCCAGCCGGATTACTCGGCTTGCCTATAGTCGCTGAACTTACCTTAGAAGTTGGCAATCATGGTATGTTCGAATATCATGACCGGCAATGCGAGCAGCTGACACGCCATCTAGCGATCAAGATATTACATCCCTCTGTTCTCATCCTCACGAAGTTCAAGCGTTGGTCCGCCAGCCACGCATCAACACACCCCAAAACTATTCGCAAGATCCTCCCAGACGTGTGTGACATCGTTTTTCTCATTATCTGGCTCGCGGAACGCGGGATCTCTATCCGATTCGAGTCATATTGTGGGACGACGAAGCCGGAGCTTCTGTTGATGGTCCGGCGATTTCGAGACAAGTATGCAGAAGAGACAGAGCGGATGGAGAGTCTGCGGAGCATCATGCCAGACGATTGGGATGCGATGCTTGCGCTCCTTGCTCCAGAGGATGATTCCCGTGTCCCTCCTGTGCACTTGTCACAGGGCCGTTGAATTGGTGGTGTCATCCCTCTGCCCACTAAAGGATCTGTCTCTTTCCACCACCCATGCGGACCACTGTGCACAGCTCGTCCTGTACCGCATCCGCATCGGCCCTAGTGCTTTGATACCAGTGGTCCTCGACGGCTGTGCACAGTCTGTTCATAACAGTCTGCAATAGTTCCACACGGCTAAGGGAGTGTCGCTCTGAACACTCCCAACTCTCCATATAATGGAGACACAGCCCCGAACTTCGCCCACGACAATTATCGAGTTCATCACGAAGTCGTACAGGGGATACATTCAACAGACCTCTGACGCCCGCAGCTGTGACCATCATGCCTGCGTAGTGCTCCGTGACGAGATATCCTCCTTGCGAGTTCTCGCTCTAATTTGTGACGACTCCTCTGCATCAGGTACTCGCTAGATACAGGACTGGATTGCTGGTAGTCACAAGACTCGGTTCTATTTGCCTATACACCGAACAATCATGGTTATCTTCTAGTTGGCACGCGAACGATTTGATTTACCCGTATCCCCAATTGATTGCATGAACCATGAAGACTAGGTATAATCCGCTCCGCTGCGAAGTTTGCCGTTTGAGTCGGTGCCTGACGTTGCTGCTGTCGTTACTTGATAGTGGCTATGAGTTTTACTGCGCCATAGCTCATCAACATGATTTGGTAACAGGTATGGTAAGATACCACACGATCTTGTGGATAGAAGACATAACATGGAACCCACCATCTCAGAAATAATCTTAGAACAAATAGAATCCCACAGGACCAAGAGAAGCTGTGTAAGATCGGCTACTGCTTCGGAACTGACCATACATCTTGATATGCAAGTTCAAGCCCAAGTTGAGAGAAAGCGAGGAATTAATATTACAGTACTGATACAACAATACACCAAGAGTCTCCTATAAACATCTATGCACCGAAACCGTAGAGCGTGCGGCCGGACCGCTTAAGCGCGTACACAACGTCGAGGGCGGTAACAGTCTTCCGCTTCGCGTGCTCAGTGTATGTTACGGAGTCGCGGATAACCTGCACAAATGCTCAACACCACATACACAGAAGATATTCACGGAGTTACTTACGTTCTCGAGGAAGATTTTGAGGACACCACGGGTCTCCTCGTAGATGAGACCAGAGATACGCTTGACACCACCACGACGGGCAAGACGACGAATGGCGGGCTTAGTGATACCTGGTGCGCATAAGACCTCGAAGTGGGTGCTGGAGTAAGATGGGCCACATACCCTGGATGTTGTCACGAAGAATCTTGCGGTGGCGCTTGGCACCGCCCTTTCCGAGACCCTAGAGATGGTGAAGACCTAGTTAGAACTGATGACTAGATGATAAGTTCACTGTTGAAGCTCACCTTTCCACCCTTTCCGCGGCCAGACATGTTTATCGAGTGTGTAAGAGGAGGTGGAGGTGAAGGGTGTTTGTAGTGATGGAGTAGACGACAGGAACTGTAAGACGGCCTAAAGGAGGCCCCAGAGGTATATAAAGACCGGGGCCACGCGCTTGTGGCACGGGAAGCGCGGTCACGTGCGGCAACCTTATTTTTGTTGAACGGCGTTCAACGCGCGCTCCACGTGGGCGCGCGACGCGTCGGGCCGCGTCCATATATAAGACCTGCCTCTATGCACTGAGCAGCCACTTACACCTTACGCCCCCACCTCGCCACTACACACCCTTTCACCACTTCAACTCTCGTATCATCTAATGGCTCGCACCAAGCAGACCGCCCGCAAGTCCACCGGTGGTAAGGCGCCCCGTAAGCAGCTCGCTGCCAAGTCTGCCGCGCGCAAGACCGCGGTAAGTTGTCACTTCGTGGTTGATCTTGCAGCATTGGACTTAATGCACCTTGGTACAGGCCGCAACAACCGGTGGTGTGAAGAAGCCTCACCGCTTCCGTCCCGGAACCGTCGCCCTCCGTGAAATTCGTCGTTACCAGAAGTCGACTGAGCTCCTTATCCGCAAGCTCCCATTCCAACGTCTTGTCCGTGAAATCGCGCAGGACTTCAAGGTTGGTTTCCCTAGTTCTCTTTGTTCGAACCTCAGCTAACAACTTGTGCAGACTGACCTCCGCTTCCAGTCTTCCGCTGTCATGGCGCTCCAGGAGGCCGCTGAGGCTTACCTCGTCTCCCTCTTTGAGGACACCAACCTGGCAGCCATCCACGCAAAGCGTGTCACCATCCAACCAAAAGACCTCGCGCTGGCCCGTCGTCTGCGTGGCGAGCGGTCATGATTTGTTTTATGTAGTGTGGTGTGGGGAGGATAGAGTGTCGCGCGCTGCGGCTTGTACTTCTATGAGTGTATCATATTCTAGCCTGGGCCCAGTCTAATTATCCTGCATTGTCTTTGTAATTTTGTGTGATTTGGCCCGCTTTGAGATCAAGTTCAGCATAGCGGATGCGTGTATGTAAAGTTCTGGACGTGAGCATAAGGCGCAGGTTGGTCCCGGCGTCTCAAGGCGCGTGACGACGCGATGGAGGTCACGTGTATCTATTCGCCTCAGCAGGTCGCGCGACTTGTTCCCCAGCCGGCATCTCAGCGTACGTGTCCATCCCACGCACTTGAGTCTTGAGCACTGTTTGATCTTGCAGTTTTGCAAAGTATCGCGAAGCATCTTTCACGGGGCCCATCATGTCTGATCCTGTAGCAGCAAAGTCTGGCTTCCTATGCATGTATATGTCCAATCATCCTGATACGCTGGTATCGTACGTGCGGCACTACGGCAAGGTCAATGACAATGTCGTCAACGCAGAGATGACTGCCATAGATACTAAGGTGCGTTGCAGAAGTGCACTGGAACCCACAACCATAGTTGAAGCGTTGGTTTGATAGGGCATGAGTTTGACCTACAAGACTAAGGCAAACGGAGACAAGAGGACCGAGATTCGGATACCGTTTGATCCGCCGCTCGCGGGCTACGAAGAGGTCAAGCCGCGGCTGCTGGGTATGAAGGTGGATGCAGAGGAAGCTATGGGAATGGTATGCCTTTGCCTTGTCTGCGCTTATTATATCGACTCACCAGTCATACAGATACGTGCCCCTAAGGTCACGACATTCGAACTCCCGAGTCAAGTTCTCATCACGGCATCTCTGATGCTCTTCCTTTTCTACACAACCTTCGCACCCGGGCCTGATTCTCTCAATTATTCCTCTGTCTTTGCCCCGGGTCACGGTCTACGCTCTATCCTTCCCCCATGGGTGCTCCCGAGTAGCTGGGGTCTCATGATAACTGTGCACTCTCTTGAGGCTCTATACACTCTAAATGTGGCCCGGAAGCATGATATGGACTTCACAATAGGGGTATGTACATGATGCCCAGACAAGGCTCACGTGCAACTGATGCTTACTTGTGACCAGATGCTACACGTCGTGACGACATTCCTCTTCGGCTTTCCTGTTATCAGCAACATGCGCAAACGGATTCAAGCGGCGCGAATTGATAGTATCATGAAAGGTCAATGAATGAAGTTATCGATGCCTTTTCTGTAAGATAGTCTGTACTTGTGCATGCATCTCAAATGAACGTTGCTGCGTGAACTGGCCCCGGATAGCGCATGCCGATCTCAATAAACGATAGTCTCATGTTGACATGGCTCAATGGTCTAGTAGTATGATTCGCGCTTCGGGATTTTCTGCCTGCGCGAGGTCCCGGGTTCAATTCCCGGTTGAGCCCATTATTTTGATATTCTTAGCACCTCTGTCGTTGTGTCCTTTTTATTTGCGGGTCCTTTTAATGATTTCTTGTTAGCGATCGCGATGCCTTTCCGACAAATAGGTAGGTAGAATGAGGGGTCAGATGGAAAACTAGGACAATGTCTGGGAAAGACGTGCAGTACCAGTACAGCGCGTTTCTGAACCATAGGCAGCCTGCCGTTCATTTGTTCAGAAACGCGCTATAAATTTCGACATTTGGGAACCCACACGGCTTCGTATCACGTGGAGGCCTCGATTATTCAGAAGTTTGATTCGTTTTGCGTCACACAAATCTGTTGTCATTTGCCCGCTTCCTTGTCTCGTTGGAGGTAACTTGCAGAAATATCTGCACCCTACCAACTCCGAAATTCTTCGGCTCACTCTATCCTGTGCAGTGGTTCAGACAATCACTTCGGGGATGCGTTCGGCGACCTTGTTTACCTGTCCTGCAGCGTAGCGGGTTAAGGACAGCCACTGTGCCGCTTCACTCATAGACTTCTGACTCATAGCTGCCTGATTGTGCACTGAATAGCTGAAGCGGGATTCTCGTGTCAATAGAATCGCGGTAAGTACATTGTGCAATCGCTCAGTAGTTCGGAATTATTGCCTCTACTTGATCGTAGTTATCCTCTCTTCCTATCCCTGCATTTGGCATCATAGTCGGAACTAATGCTCTCGCTGCCTGATTTGTCGTCGTCATCGTTATTGTGTTCGAACGCGTCACGACTGCCCGCGTTCGCGTACACACCGTTCGCTCCGTTGCCAGGGACGGTAGGGGCCCCAAGACAGGCGTTGCATGGATAACGATACAAGCAGCCCGGCATGACGAGTCTGAGGTCAGGGTTCGCTCTGACATCTCGTCAGCAATGCCTATGCAAAAGCAGATGTTACCCTACTGGGTCGCACACTGCCTATGATCGTGCTCGTCCGGACTGTGGCTCGGGCTCAATCCGCACCGAGAGTTGTTGCAGTTCACCTGGGAAATTTGTGAGTGTGTGGACTACGCCGACGAAGGCACGTACCCATTGTCTCCTAAACGAATAGTGATGCCCGCAGCTGAATCCCACGCACTCTACAACGTAGCGGCACATTTGAGAGGAAATATAACGAATGCGCAGAGGTCTTTGGACTAGTCACCACCATAGGCTCGATCGAATTATTTATACAGTTTTCAGTGACTCCCCCAATATTCTGAACGACCAATGAGTGAGAAGTACACCCACACTGGCCCCATCCGCCCAGGCAGATCGAGAGCGGCAACATAAGCGTTATGTAAAGTATGCAGAAGCATATTCTGCATCATATGCGCGCTCGAAGCTTGTGAAAGTTTCCTGCGAGTATAGTGTCAGCTCGTGGAGACAACACACCTACCGCATCAGGACGCGGGTCGCACAATCTTGTGTCCGGTGCCGCAGATGTCCTTTCATATGACAGCGGCATCTTCAACACGTTTTCACCGGTCCAGATTACTGGAGATTCATTGAAGAGAAGCTTTTGTCGCTGGTCTGGAGCGAACGTGGCTGACATCCAGGCTCTTCCAGCTTCTCAAACCTGCGAGCTCCGATGACCTCGTTGGTCAGTGTGGACGAAAGGAGCCAAAGCGTGAAATCTGAACCAGTAACTTCGTGATGTGTTATTTGTCGAAAAGTGATGAGATCACGATATGTAGTCCAGGAAGTTTTGCTAGTAGTATGGATGTGAGTGACGTTTGCCAAATGGCTCTGACGATGCTGATAACGGTGTCATTTGCAATGAAATGGAAGCATAGAAGGGACAGGAACATAGTTTTCTTAGTCACACCAATCCTCCTGAGCCAACTTCATGGACGGGGTGCAGTCGTTGAAAAGGGAAGAGCTAAGGGCGCTACTCAGTAGCATGCCAAAGCGAGTCAACGGGGATCATCGGAGCAGCATCAGCAAAATCATCAGTTTCCTTTCCGGTACTTGGAGTTACTCGGACGGGCGCTTAAACGGAACCAGCTCAAACGTACTCGTGTGGACTTCTATGCGATCTCGGACGTCCTCTCTGGGCCCTTGAATGACCCTCGGACAGACCTGAGCCCGAGCACCAAAAAATAAGCCGACAGTGGCCCAATTGAACGGAATTTAAGCCTGACTAAAGTGAAATCAAGCTGCCGCAAGTTCGCGAGCCTACTGTATTCTACTTGGCGCACTTATCTTTACTGGACGTTACTTACAACGCCTTTTCCTATAGGCGCCTTGGAAGCGCTCTACAAGCGCCCATATTAAGTACTTTCAAGTGTGGTCAAGTACGCAAAGCATTCGATAAGTAGTTACAGATAAAATGTTGAATTTGCTGATGAGCTATGGTTGGTCTAAGCTATCGTATGCATGAGCTCTTAACTTATCGCGCCAAATTCGGAGTTGACTTCTCGATGCGCAAAATATTCATCAGACGCGAGTTACCAGAGAATTCGTCACTGCATCCAATTCATATCATGTATCTGTTGCGCGGGACCGACTTGCTGAGAACCCAATGTTATGTGCTATCCTCTGTGTTGGTAGCATAGATCTGTCCCAGCTCAGGTGCAACATTCTGAACCAACTCAAACGTCTGTTGTCCAGGAGGCCTCCTCTATCCGTTGTACTTCTTTCCTTGGGATCCCATCGTCGTGACTCCAGGTACCAACCCGCCTAGTTGGCTCGTTGACACCTCCAGCTTCGCTTGAGGTTCCGCGCAGAAAGAATTATGCTCGGCTCCTCAACTTGGCACATGTTCATCGTGACAAGGAACGTCAGGCTGTCCAGGCTTTGTAACATTGCACCCTGATCTTCGATCCTAAATGTGCGATGATACTCTCTGTTCATGAGCAACGATGCGATAGCATGGAGCATGACTCGTGGCTATCCAAGGAGCCTTGATAACTGGCAATGTATGTCGTTTATAGGACAAATAACGATCCCGGACTGAACGATGCGACAGTTAGTGACACAGATCTACTCCGATTTCGACATCGAGCACCTAAAGGAATGTGAGAGGGCGCTTGAGCTAGTAAGCTAAAATGATTCTATAAATATCGATGTCGTAGAGCATCCTCAGCGTATTGCATCTTGGCTTACTACAAGCAACGACAATCCTGGGTGGAGCTTAATAGTTAAATTAGCTGACCATTGTAATTGGGTAGTGGAGACCACGCCCCCAGTGGGGCAAGACACACTCGTCACTATGGAAATACACTGGTCCTTCTACAAGAACAGCAAGTCGATTGCCAACGCCGGTCTGATGATGTTCGGAAGCAGATGTCGAAGCGCTCGTGGAGCAGAGAACTCTCATGATGAACTGGTACGAGTCGAGACCTAGAAACTGGCAGACTGAATCCCGGCTACTGTACGAATACTTGGCACCCGGTAGTATGCGGGAAGTAACAGCTGAGATTCGAGGTCGAACTTCCGCTTTGACGGGGAGATGGCATGCAGAACTCCTCGAAAGTATCCAAGGGGGCTAGAGGGCAGATTGACTGTAAGAAATTGCCTAGTCGTCAGCCGAGCATATTTGGCGTGTGAGGAGTGCATGTTACCCGGGGCGATATCACTGTAGGTTCTCGAATTTCGGAATCAGTTTCAGTATTACTGATTATTGTCGAAAATAGAATGAAATAAATTAAGCATGCTGACCGTATTCTCTTCGATACTCTTCAAATATAATAAGGTCTGTCGTTAAATCAGGACATGCCCAAGGTTAATTGGTGTGCACATCTCATAATGAAGATTTGCACGCTGACACTCGTGATAGGCTGCAAAGTCAATATTGAGCAGCATGTGCATAAAGACCGAACATGTTCAAACAAGTTGTATCGGCGCGAGTCTAGGGGTTCTTTTCAATATTTACATTGGTACATGTTGAAGGTTCAGACTTCAGGGCTATTGTGCGGACATGCTTGCTCCTGAAGGAGGGAAGACGTCGACATGGAGAATTGTCATTCGCTCAAGAAGACTTCGGCGGTCGAGACACACGCACCCAGTAGCTTCTACTTCGTCGTCTCCTGTCGAATGTGCCGTAATCGAAGTCCTGAGGGTTACCTTGGGTGGGAGACTGTGCCATATATTCGAAAGGCAGTGATCTATGACTTCGTAAACCGTGTTCTGTCCGCTTACGAAGTCGCAAGGCTTTATACATAATAGTATGGCCTCCAGGATATGTGCGGAAATAATCATGATGGGGCTAATTATATGTATCATATGTGCAATGGGAATCACATGAGAATTAGGATACCATATTGAGGTACATAAATAGATATGGATGCATGGGTTAATAGTCATATGCGTAGTCCCTATGATAAGGATCAGCACTCCGGGACCGACGCCGATACTGATGATGATGCCGGTGACGATGTGAAGGTTCACGCTGCACAATGACAGTTGAACCCTGTGGTACCGGCATGCCATTTACCGCACTGAAACCCCTGGTTCCATATGCGCCAACACCCCCATAGCCATAACCGTAGCTAGAGCCACAACCAGGGCCATAGTATCCGGTACTGTAACCCATAGGGTATGTTCCAGCAACTTGCGGTGCCACGGCCGATATCCCGGGCTGAGCCAGGCTTGCGCCTGTGGAGACCATCTGCGGTGCTACGCCGACTTGTGTCGGAAGCGCTGTGGTTGTGGTCTGTGGCGTGACGACCATAGACGAATTTGAGTAACCGACGGTGTTAGCAGCAAGCGGCTGAGCTACGACTGCTGGAGCAGAGATGACTGTGTTGCCGTACTGACCGTACGGCATGCTGCCATATGGGCCACCGGGAGTCGAGCATACTCCTACGCGACATGTAGGAACCGGAGTGAGCACCGTCTCAGGTGGATATCACTTCGCTGACAACGTACCTAGCCCGCCGTATGCTGCACCGGTCATACTTCCGTTCCATCCACCCCGTAAGGAGTCAACAGCACCGTCGACGAGTGCGCCTACGGAATGGCGACGTCGATAATGGCGACGAGGGCTTGGTGAATAATCTGATCG